CGAAAAAATAGATTTTTCATATGTTTTACTATGTGATCGACAAAAATTACGTAGACTTTTGTCCAGTGAGTGTATATGCGATACGTAACTTTAACTACACACATTGAATGAAAAAGAAACACATTGAGAAACTGAATAAATAATTTTTGCAAAATGTTTGATTTGATAGACTTGCCTCAGCTGAGGATCTCCTCAATTCTGGACCAAGTGACTAGATTCGGAACCGAGACAGGTCCTAAACTCGAACACAACAAGAATAAATTTAGAGTCGATACTGATGCATTGAAGAACAACTTGTTATGAATAAAGTTGTTCGGTCAATTATTAACAATTTCGTTGAATAATTCTGGATATTTGTATTCAAGATTGCTTTACACTAATACTGTAAAAGGTGTTAGTTTTGGGTTAAAGTATTTTTGACATAGTAAGATTACAAAACAAAATATTATATTTTTCAGAACAATGCGTGCCATATCATTAACATAATCGAAAATGCGGAGCAAAAATACGCAAAAATTTAAGATTATATTTTCTAGACAATGACTATTTGGGATTATTGTGAAAAAGTAGACAAATCAGAAAAACAATCTATGTATTAATATGCGTCTGACACAAGGACACTTGTACCTTATTTTTTACTCAAGAGCAAATCTGGTTTTTTGTGTGAAAAGCTTTATTCGAAGTGACCTTTATTGACCGATTATAAACGTAGGAGTTACAAACAAACAATTCATTCGTTTGAAATTCTTAGCACGTTAAATTATACGTTTTTAATATAGATTTATAATCTTATTTAGCGAATACGTTTGAGTCTACAGCTTTGTTTAAATAATGGTTTTTAACTCGATTAAAGATGAGATAATATCATAAACCAACTGCGTTAACGTTCTTGACAACAGGATGCGTCATGCAGTATTTTGATAACGTATACAACGTAGCAATGGCACATCTTCTCATTTTTGCTAGGTTAAACCACATATGTTATGGTTTTCTGGTAAATTATAACACCAACTTTCCACAACGTGCATGTTTGTATCTTTTTAAACGCCCATACATTACAGGTAATAAAAGGTGTTTCCCCCAGCCTTTTATTATAAATTTTATTCTGATTTTTTCTTTATTTCTAATGTAGAGACGGAATAACAGTACGTTTGATCTGTAGTTGTTGTGATGCCACTATGGGAAACAACTTTGAGATTTGGCTATCTTTGTTAATGAAGCTTTTATAAAAATTAGTAATTTTTAATCAGGCTTAATTATACTAACGTTATCTGCCGTTGTGTCAATCTAATTACGTAATGTGTATACTTTCTGGCAAACTATTACTATATACATCATATGTTGAGGGTATTTGCTCAGTAAGAACAGTTAATATATAACAACGTAACTTTGTTGGCAAATTCAAATTATAGACAAGTTTGCAGTTAATATTAAGAAATACATAATATTGACACACCATTTAACAAGTTTGTATTCCATAAATTATATCTGCCATTCAAGTTTAATTTTCGAAAAAAGTAAATTGCTGTCCATTTATCAAGCCATAATAAATTTTTGAAAGTAAAAATATGTCCCAAGTGATAGACTCGCACGCGAATGGCTTGTGCGTAATTGTTGGAGTAATTAGAGTTTGAGCGAATTGACAAAGGGAGAAAGCTTTACCGCTCCAGCATATGCAAACAGATATAGAATTGCGAAGAAATTAAATCGCAAGATAGACGAACATTAATGAACCAACGTCTAATTTCAAAACTCTTATATCCGTTTATCTAATAAATTTTACTTTTTTTAAAACTTTACTACATTTTATTATAATTGTATTCGTTAATTAAAATGGCTAAAAGACTAAATTTGCGTTATACCAATTATTTATTTAGTATGATAACATAAATTTAATATCTGGTTGGCCAACTATTATTAACAACACGTTCTTCAAGTCTTTGAGGCATCTATCAGTCAATTCAACACGTTTTGAATATAATTTGTTGCTACTTTGCGTTAAGACGTTTCTAATTCTCGACCCCATCTTCTTTTGCTCACAGACTGTAAGTAGTTTTAACAGTTTAATAAAGTTTGAGCAATGTGTTAATTTTTGCATTTGCTTTCCATTGTTTTAAAAAAAGGCATAAAAAACGTAGGTTTGATTCCATACATCACAACAACAAGCTCTAAAGAGAGGTGATAGTATATTTATAATAAAACCGAGAACCAAAGTTTTCAAATATATATAATTTATTAACTTGCTTGTAAAAGCCATTAAAGTTTTGGATTTAACTCGAGCATATACGTAATTTTAGCAGACCAAATAAAATGGCAAATCGTATTGTCTTTTAAATTTTAAAAAAATACAAACATAATGAAAATGTGGAGACTCAAACAAGATAGATTTTATTAAATTTATTTAGTAAAATTCTGAAATAAACGATATGAAGTTTTGAATTCAAAACTTTGCCCGTTGCACGAATGAAAAAAAAAAAATTCGCACACTTACGCGAAAGCTAGAAAACTACGCTAATTTGGCAGGAAAAATATGTCCAGCAACAATGGTAAAAAGTTAAAATCTCGTCTGTAAAAACAAGTCAAGAAACTAAATAATTGCAAACTTCGATAGTGGCTCCACAAAAATGTAAACTCAATAAGGTTTATTTTCAATTCCCATTAAAAAAAATGGCATGTATTTAGTAACTTCAATCATAAGTCTTAAATTAAGAAATAGAGTCGTGACCTTAAACATCAAATATCAGATTTACGAAACAACCGAGATTGGTTCTCAAGGACCAAAGGAAAATAAAACAGTTATTGATAGCAAAATAATTAATTGCGTCAAAGCATTAACACAATAAAAAACAATTCTTAAACGGCATCCAAGTACTTTCCGAGAATAGACGGTGGGGATGTTTAATGTAAATCAACCGTATCGAACAACTTACAATAAATTTTCCACAAGAAAAAAGTTATAATTGGGAATACTTAAGAAACTCTTGCAACCAACCTCAAAGTGAGATAGTAAGGCGCATTACTAAACCAAAGGAGTTAGTAGTTAGATAACGATTTCTCTCACATGATAGTAAACTACGTGACTCGTATTGGCCAATAGTTGCAAGACGGAAGTAGGCCGGCCGGCACACCGAACCGGCTTAATAAGTCAAATACAATCTTGTGCGTTTTTGTTGATACAAGCTATATGATTAAGTTAAACACACTTCTTGGTAGTATAGTACAACAAGCTTTGCTTATAGTAACATGTGTAAACAATAACTATTTGTAATATCCACTCGGAAGTACGTAATAGCCTTAAAACAATTGATGTTGATCCAGAACAATCGAAAAGAAATAAACGGTTAAATGTGATCGATAAAGTACGCCGAGTTATGCTATCTATGTTGTCTACGTTATATTAATTGCATTAGCGAACCAGTGGTTTTCGTGGGGTTTCTGGATCTGTTTGGAAGCACAATTAGTCAATGCCTGACAAATTATATCGAACATTCCATAAATGGATAAGAAGCGGAATAAACTGCTTTAAGCCAAACCAATTATGCAAAGACGAAAGAGAATAAAATCCTAAATTGGTAAGACTCAAGTGGGACTGAAAAAAGAAACTGTTAAAATCATGGGTGACCGCCAAGCCGGAGATTATGTGTTCCCATTCGATCTTTTGTGCAGAGTGTAACATTCTGTTTAGATGCACCGGCCGAAACTTTGATGTTTGCTTTCTCAAAAGTTTACTTCTGTAGTTAAAAGTGTTCCCGATTATTAGAAAAGGTTCACTACAGGGGGCTGTGTTATTTTTATGGTTAACAACCTGTGGCTTACATTCGCTTTGTCATCATTGTGCCATTTTCTGTAGATTCGTATACTAATTATGCAAGTATCCGTAATCACAAGCTGTGTTACTGTTTGTACAATATCATTTACGCCCCTGAAATTGATGTTTACATTATATAAATATGCATCTCTGTTCTTCGATTATCTATTCACAATATTTTCGAAATGACTTGCGCAATAACATATTTTATAAACAAATTGACTTGTACCAAAATCGGATTAAAGAAGTTCCGACATTTCAAAGTCAAAACGACCTCGTCTTTGGCACTTGCCGATTTGAAACCCGGTGAAAGCATGAAAGAAGCAGTTTTGCCTAACGGGAACAGAAAAATATCCTCTTTCTGTTCTTTCTCTCTTCAATAACATGGAGGGAGGGGGCCAGTTTGCGATATGCAAGTGGACAACTGGTAATTATCTCTTTTTTTTTTGTGACAATCAATTTCGCTTGTAGCGATTTTATTAACACGTGCAAATTATATCAAAGATCAACTATGCACGGTATCGTGCATATAAGCGAACATGTAAATATAAAAATAAACCAATGTATATTAATAGCTTTAGCATTTTAACCCATTCTAATAAACAAATAAAGAAATTATTAAACAACCATCCATTGTCGTTATGACATGAATGCACATATTTTTTTCGTACAATTTTCTTCGCGATCCCTATCGTTGTCAGGGATTGTTGGCCGCTAAAAATAGACGCACATAATATAATATCTAGCAGGTATCCTATTGTTAAGAATAAGGTATGACTGTATCACAATCGAAGAAAGAAAGCCACAGCCACTTGAAACTCTTGATAACCTTAAATTGACATGTTTGTCTACGTCATGACCATTGAACATATTAATATCAACAAGCTCTAAACAAAGAACTAATATTGAAACAACTGTTGTTTTGTCGCACTTGTTCTTTGTGCGTATTCTCCAAGCGTGTAAACTTTATTACAAAAAAATGTCTACTTGCATTAGAAACTACAGGAGTATCTTTTTAGCTATTCGAATGCTTTGATGTGTCATTCTTTAAATGATATTTGAAACAGTCGCTTGAATTTTATTATTTACAATTAGATTTTTTGAGCCGGCTTCAATTGAAACTTTTGCCCCTGCATCGTAAGACAAATTATATCTCGTGAATAATTAACATTAAATATCAATTTATTCTTTTTGTTCTCCTTATTCTGCAAAATTTAATTAAAAGCTTTCAGTCATGGCGAATAACAAGGACGGTAAGATAGTTATGTTTTTTACTCACTGCACTCGAATTACCCGCATGTCAAAGTGCTTGACTAGAATTAAAAGATACTCTTTGTGATATTATTAAATTATTTGCAAACTTGCAAGATGAAAAATAAACTGTGCATTAAGAGAGATAAACAAAATTAAAATAAATGCCAAACAGTCCCCCCACCTGTTATATACAATACTTGGGGGAATTGAAAGTTGATTCTATTCGTAGTGTGAAAAAACTCTTATCCAAACAAGGTAGAAGGGCCAAAGTCGCGCAACGGTTGCAATGGTGTATAACTTGTAGTAGTATCATCGGCGTCAAATGGATATCGTCTAAGTTGTTTGGCGCGTGATACTGTCCAGTCAATGTACTCTTGGATCACTTGATTTTTCTCAAGTTCGTTATGCACTGAAAAGAAAAAAGAAACACGCAAAAAAAACACCACGCGCATCAGAGGATATAACGTGAGCATCCTTGTTTATACAAAACACACGGCGATAACAATACAACACTACTTACTCTCATGAAATAGTCCCGTCCATACTCTAAAAGTCTTGTCTTTGGAAGGTAGTTTTTCGTACAACTCTTTGGTTGAACCAAAGGCTGTCACCTGATCACCAGTGCCATGCGCCAAGTAGATAGGATGAGTGATTCTCTCGTATCCTGATTTCATGACCAACTTTGCTCCACGAAGAACATCGCTAGCTGATATACGATAAATGCAAGTTAGTTTCATGTAAGAGTACAAAAAAAAAAAAAGTAAAGAGGAACGAGCGCTATTTTTTATATATACCTCCTTTCAAGCTCCAGTAAGGATGATTGTACGGATCGTTCGCATACTTGAGACATTCCTTCGGATCACGCGACACATATTTAATGTCTATCTTGGTATTAAACTGTAAATTTGGCAATACTTTCGATAACCCAGTTCCTAGAGTTACTGTTGAATCGTTGATTCTGGCTGATCGAATCAATGGAGAAGTGATGAGAAGAGCCGAGATGTTTTTAGACTCGGGACCTTCGGCTGCGTAACGAAGTGCGAGACTGCCACCCTTGGAACGGTTTAAAGTGGTCGGTGCAGGTGTGGGTTTAGTCGATGCACGTATGTTGATATATTTGAATTCTTCTCACACACAACTCACCCCCTCTTCTTTTTTGTATTAAATGTTTTTCATTTTTACTCACCATCGAATGCCCAAACAAAATCAATGGCACACCAGGTTGTTTCGCAATCTTCAAGGCATCCGTAATATCTTCCTTGATAACCTTCCATCCTCCCGTAATACCTAAATTCCCATTTTTTAACCCGGTCTTTCCAAACCCTCTTTGATCGTATGCGTAAACTTCAATGTTGGCTTGGGCGAATCTTGGAAACATGTGATTGTATCGGTTAACATGTTCGCCAAAGCCATGAAGAAAGACCATGGTTGCCAGCGGTGGTTGGGTTGCCGTCTTTGGAAAAAGAACCAAATGGGAAACATTGTGTATGTGTGTGTATTGTATTGTATTGTATTGTATTGTATTGTATTGTATGTATATGTATGTTAATGTGTTAGTGTAGTGTGTTCGTGTGTTCGTGTGTTCGTGTGTTCGTGTGTTTGATATGGATATAGTTTTTTAGCAGACTTGTCAATTGTCTTGGCATTTTAATTTCATACCTTCCATGATTTTGTATACATGCTACAACCGTCTCTTGTGACAATCCATTCTTCTACAGTCTTTGCATGTTTCATGTTGTTTGGTTTAATTACGATTTAGTATCTTTATTATGTTATAGTCTGCCTTTTTGCGCAAAAAAAAAAAAAAGAGAGAATTGGTTACTTGTTTGTTGAAACGCAAAAAGTTTTATTCGAAAGAGTAAGAAAATCTGAAACAACACGTCTTTAATCTTTGAAACCAACAATGAACCTTTTTTTTGGAAAATGTTTCTGGTGATCTGTAAAAGAAAAAAAAAAAAATTGTCAAACACGTTTTCTCTCTGAAAGCTCGTGGAATCCTTACTAAGAGTTTAAGTCCGGCAATCAGTTCCGGAAATTAAAAAAGTTCGTGACAAGATTTGGAACTGTAATGTGCGCTTGGACAAATAAGGTATGACCGGCCAAAATCACATTAACGATGTATAACCTACGGACACGGTCTAACGAAAAAGGTAACCAGCGTCCGCATGTCTTTGCGGCTAGACAAAATTGGGTGTATTTTGATTAAGATAACTTGAAACGAGCAAGACGCTGTCGTAATTCTCCGTTGCCATTTTTGTCTCTCATTCATGCGTAATGTATCCGTATTAGTATACGGACTCATGGTGTGATTAAAAAGGCAAAAGTTATAATACAAGAAATTCGATTTTAATTTGGGGCAAGCAAAACTTTAAGATGCAGTTTTTTGCATGTTGCAAGTGTTTTCGGTGATTCGCGTGACCTTTATTAGTTACACGATTTTGTAATTTTTTTTTGTTGAGTTACACATATTACAGATTAGATCAATGATAATCATTAGCATTAGTAGCAGAAACTCGATCAATATCGTGTCACTTGGACAATCTATATATCTCTTTGTTCCCATACTATTATTATTTATCAAAAAGAAAAATTCCCAGAATCATCCAAATGTCCACACAGCAATAAATAACATTATATTATCATCCAGATAACACAAATAAAAAAGAAAGTAAAATTGTTCGCAATATGACAAAATGTTCATCACACTTGCTTTTTGCATGTTTGCCTGAAACCATTAAAGATCCATCCACACACAAAGATCATCAATTACTCTAATCTACGTTTGTAAATCTTTCCTATGCCTGTACTGTGTATGTTGAGAATAGTGCATCATATTATCACCCTTAGAAACATGATCACTCGCCACCCTCCTGTGTGCAGCCCCACCATACATGCTTATTCGGTTAACAGGCGTTGGTGACATTCCGGCCGGACCATATCCTAAGCCGGCATGATCTCGCCTTCTTCCCTGTTGCTGTGATGAAGCTGAATAACTTCTCTCCCGTTCCCTCCTCTCCATCCTATCTCTATCACCTCTTTCTCTTCGGCTTTCTCCATTTAAAACAAGCTTATTCAAAGAAGAATTGCTTCCGCTCTGTTTCCGCGAATGATGAATATAAAATTCACCCGGAGATCTTGGCGGTGTTGGAAGTGATAACGGGGGTGTGCCTGCACGAATGTTTGTCATTGATATGCTCGAACGAACGACTTTGTGTTTCTGTGATGGTGGTGGTACAGGAGAAGCAGATGATGGAACTTTCGAGGTCAATGCAAGAATAGTGTCCTGTGCCCAATCATCGGTATCTGCCTTGGGGAGTTGAACTGGTGTCGAAAGCAACGGAGGTGGTGAAGCTCTTGCTGCAGAATACATAGAGAAAGGACGATACTGTGAACTATTGCCCGGTGTGAATTCACTGTTGCTGCGTTTTCGATATTGCGGTTGTGGTGGGACTACATTGGTTAAAGCGAGAGGGTCAAGTCAGTAATTTGAACATCCTGAACACTGCGATTCTTTTAATTGCATTTTTTTCAGAAAAATCACGACGACTTACGGAAATCACTTTCATCCATAGCATAAGCTGACCTCGGTCTACGCATCCTCGGGTCGAATGCCGAATCAGGTGTAAGTGATGACTTCCTCGGTCTTGCGTCGCCTATAACATGTGACTGTCTCTGTTTTCTCGGATTGAACGTACGCGAGTCTATTACAAGAGACTGTCGGGAAACTGTAAAGCGCAACAACACAAATTGGTGAGAACGGAGAAAATACTAGATACTCTGATTATAAATTTGCAAAACTTACCATCACTAACCCACGCCTCAACTCGGGGAGACTTTTTCCCTGATGACGACAGAACAGAAATCCTCGGAGGAGCATCGCCCATCCTTAATGCCAATGGGGTATCACTGTCTGAACTTTCATTCCCACTATCTTCGCTTTCCTCCTCGCTTTCTTCAGAGCTCCCTTCAGAACTTCCATCATCACTTCCTTCTTCACTTTCAGAGCTTTCTTCATCGCTTTTTTCTTCTTCCACCTTTTCCAAAATCGACATTGACGTCGGAGTGGATACTTTTACATCATCATCACCGCTTTCGGGTGATTTTGTTGATGATCTGGTGGGAGAAGTGCGGGTTGGTGAAGTGCGGGTTGGTGAAGTGCGGGTTGGTGAAGAGGTTGGCGAGGGAGTTTTGGAGGCTCTAAGTTGTGACAATGGTGGTAGCAATGGAAGACCGGATGGCCTAGAAGTGGTTTTCTCCGTCTTCTTGGCATCGTCAACATTCTCCTGCTCATCTCCGCTCTCTTCTTCATCTTCTGACGATTCTTCCGATGATTCTTCACTCGAATCCACCGGTGGCACATATCCCCAAATACTCGGTGGTCTCGAATTCCCTTTGCCTGCACTGTATGTCGACAATGGCCTCGACATGTTACTATGTGATGATGCTGGGCGCGGTAAGTTTGGACTCGCGTTTGGGCGACTTTGGTTAAAGATCGAATTAGGTCGGGAAGATGATTGGTTTGATGTGTTTGCAAGTGATGGGAGGGAAGTTGAGGACGAGTTGGAATTAGAGAGAGGAGATCTTGAAAGAGGTTGTTGACTCTTTACGTCTATTGGATCGAGAAGTAGAGAGAGTTTAGTATAAAATAATTCTTACTCGGTGGTGAATTGACTTGTCTATGTCAAAAATTGCGTCATTAGAATTAAAAAAATGAAAATTTTACGTAAATGTTTCTTTTTCTTTACCTGAATAACTTTTCTGATGTAAAAGCCTCGATGTTCGATGACTACTCGCAGGAGAGAATGTCGTCATTATTTGCCTGCTATCCAGAATACTTTTCCTGACATCCATCAGCGTTGTCGGCCTTTGCGTCTGGATAGATACCGTACCTATTAACGCGTTCTGTTGTTTGGTTTGTGGTTGAGATATAGGCGGAGCGGGGGGGATTGGAGATGAAGAGATTGAAGATACGCTTCCGTTTGGTGAATGATTTGGTGTATGCCGGGAGACGGGGAGAGAGGGCAGAGATGGAGATGAATATATTCTGCTTTTTCGGAATTGATCATGCGGTTTTGACTGAGCGCCACTATTCGCAGCTATCAGATTAGTTTCGGTCATTTTGTTTTTGATGATGTTGTCATTGTTATTGTTGTTATTATTATTGTTGTTGTTGTTGTTGTTGAGAACGGGATACTCGCCGTTTCCAAGCGATGGAGGTATAATTAGAGTGTGGGGACGCGGTATGTTATGTTGTGATTGTTCTAATGCTTGGGGTTGTCTGTTACGAAGTTGTATAAATAATGCGGATTGATGGACCAACTGTGGATCTTTTGGATCTTCCTTTAGTGCTTGTGCAAGTCGAATTCGTGAAAAAGGGACTAATTCTTCGGGGGCCGCCATTGTGTGTGAGTGAGTGATGCTGAATGTGATTGCGATTTGTTGATATGATGTTGTAAGTCTCAAAGTATGTAAATATGAGTGTCTTGTCAAATATATTACACGGTGTATTTTTTTTTAGTAAGGATTATTGTTGCTGCAACCTTCGCTGCGTCCGTTGGATGAGATGTTGTTCTAATAGTCCTCTAGTTCGCTGACGTTGAGGTGGTTGACGTTGTGTTCGTACTCTATCTATTTGTTCTTGGGTGAGTTGGTTGATATCTCGCGTCAGTTGAGCTTGTAGTTGCTGTATACGTTGTATACGCTGTAGTTGTGTGTGATGGAGATTCTCCTGGGAATACTCTCTTAACGACTCTCTTGACGGCTCTCTTGGCCGTTCTCTTGATTGTTCTTCAGAAAGACTTCTTCTGTTGCTCGATTTTTCTCTACCACGTCTTTCAGTCAAGCGTGAATGTTCGCTCTGTTCTGCTCTCTTGTTTCTCGAGTGACGGTGTCGTGGTTGCTGTTCTTCGAAACCCAACCTTGTTATTATCTTTCCAATCTGTAAGGGAATAAATAGAATAGCGGATATTGTAAAGAATATTGTACAGTATAGAAGGAATGCAGCGGATATAAAGAGAATTGATAGGATGGTCGTGAAGGGAACCAACAGCGCGATTAAAAAATCGAGAAGGGATTTCATTCAATGCAATGTTAGGTATATATGTATATATATATATTTATGTATAGTGTTCCTTCGACGTGGAAAAGGGATGAATGATAAAGCGGAAAGTCCCAAACCTGGAGGATAGAGTCAGTTTGTTGCTAAAACTAATAAAGTGTAGTTTGTGGAGTTTATTCATTCGTGTGTTACCGAAAGGGGTCGGGTTATCAATTCAATGGTAATATAAATTCGTTAGCTTTTTAAATATAGGACTTTGTGATATCAATAATCTACTGTGTGTCATTAATTTAAATATAGAACTAACATAAGAAACGTTGTGTTGTGTGGTTGTTTATGAGATATAAATTACAACCTATTGCACAACGTATATGAAATGGTGTGTTATAATTTAAGTTATGGTCAGTCGATTAGACACAATCTATTTCGTGCATGTTACGAAATTGTAGACAACAGGCGGGGAACAAAGCACAATTAAGAGAATTGTAGTCGTAGAGCATGAGACAATAAGACAGGACCATTTCACGAATTGTAGTATGAACAAAGGCATAACATACTATATATCGCTGCATAGTGCTATTACTGTCGCTGTATACTAGTTTCTGCTAGACTGTTTCCTGTGTCCGCCTTTGGTTGCTTTGCCATGCTATTTTAAATTAATGGAGACACAGGGCAGTGTACGGTGTACAGTGTACTATGTACAGTGTATAGCCTACAGTATACAATATATGATACAGTATAGATACAATAGAACAATGTATTGAAAGCCCAACAGAAAAATATATTACCTTATACGTTTAGTTTTTTATGTTCGATGACACTAATTATTAATTTTGTATTAATCGGATGCGTCTGCATCTTCTTCTCTTCATACCCGACATGTCCTAAAACTGATTTACTCTTTTCTCCACTATGTCTCATTTAACAATATTGTTCTTTGTGGCAATCGTATGAATCCATATCGACAAGCGTGATCGAAACATCATAAAATTAAGTCTAGAATAGAATCTATTATTAGCGAGCATACCCCCCCCCCCCCCCCTCAAAAGAATTCGGCTGTTATCCTATAAAATGAATGGGCGTATATTAAACATCCCATATATATATATATGCATTTACATGTGCAATGCTGATCATATCCATCGATCTAAGTTTTGGTCTTCGGGCGATATCATAACAGCCAAGCGGGGACGGAGTTTTGGAATACCAGAGATCTTCAGGTCCGTGTTAAAAATATCACAGTGATTCTCCTACCCTATGCTCTAACAACGTAATCATCAACAACGAGGACGGAAGTGATTGATAAACATATATGTCCATAACGTGGGCGAATATCCAAATACGCCCTTGTCTATCTACGATGTATTGTTCTCTGGAAGAACACGAATCTATTTATAAAATAAAACATTGAATCATATGAGATTACTAAGGATTTCAAACATATCAAAGATTGTCATTCATAATTGTATGTAATCACTTTATTGTTTGTACGTCATACTGTTCAGAATGTTGCTCATCTCAAAGCACAGATCAAACACTTTCTGTATTGAACTTCCTTTTTTAGGTTGCTATTGGAAATTTCCTAAACTATCTAAAAATAGACAAATAGAATATCGGTATTACTTGTAATTTTTCTTCAAACCTGTTTGAAAAAAAATCTTTTCTTTTTTTTTCTTTTCAAAAAATTCCTGGTTACATGTTTGAATTCATAATGACTATACGACAATTAAAAAAAGACAGATTTTATTTAATTATTGGCTTACATAATAGTAAGGGCTCTTGTAGTATTGCATAATTGTTATTTTTTACAGCAAACACTTAATCTCGCTCATTGTCACATCGTAGAAAAGTTTATTACTTGGGATGAGTATTCATTACAACCATCAACATATAAATGCTAATGTCTTTGTCATTGTTAAATTTGAAATATATGTACTATATAATAAAAAACGAGTACCAAAAAGATGGTTTGACTGACAATAAGCAAATTACCAATGCTATATTATCAACACAATTTACAAATTGTTTATGGAAACTTTTAGGAATCAAACTGTTTGCTGATTATTGAATTTCTCTTTTGACTTGGCAAATCTCTTATTGCGAACGATGCGGTCGGAATTAATTTTGCTGATCAATAGTAGCAATTGATTCAATACGTTCATTGATGCTGACAGACACATGTAACTTTTCTCGAAGAGTTGGAAACGACGTTATTGTTATTTTTGCATCATTATACACCATTGCCAATTTGGTGTAATCTTGCTTGCATGGTCCAATCGCTCATTAATGATAGCTCGGTTCATTGCGTGCACGTTTTCCTATTTTTAATTGGATATCCACCAATCAACTGCGGACGGAATAACCTAGCTGAATTTGGTTAGAATATTATCAGACATGTTGGTGGTGGTACAATCGACACAATACTTTCTTGCATAGTTTCACTCCAATTAAAGTGCCAACTAATTTTAACTTCCAGCGTATAACAATATGAACGTCATCAATACATTTATCGATATCATGAATCTGCAGAATGAAGTTTAACTAATATTTGGAGCTTGAGGAAAGGGGTAAATGCAGGGGATGAATCTTGTATGTGAGAATGCGGAAAAAAATTACATCCCAAGTTCTATCCTCCTCGCAAATATCGGAAATTCCGTGCTTCTCTGACAGTCAATCGGTATTGTTTTGCTAAAAAAATGAAACAACAAACAAAACACAGTTAATTCTTGCGTTAATACTATAGTAATAGGAGAAAGGTTCTGTGATCACAAGTTAGGCCAGTGAGGACAAAAGGGGTTATAAACATAATAATAAATACGCAGCAAGTCAAACTGCTAGTGCTAAAAAATGGATAACCATTCGTTTAGTATGAATTGCTATATATGGTGGTCAACAATAGCTTTCCTCAACTCTGGGCTGCAGGGCAACACTTTAAAGTTTTCGAATATACGAATTTGTTATTTGTAAATGATCGAATGCATGACCAGCATTTGGAAAGTCAACGAACGCATGAGTATGGTTTGATCCCTGTCTGTACGAATACGTATTTTTACTATGAGAAAATGATACAGTTGACAACGTGTAGTCTTTCTGAAAATAAACTGTCTTTGAGCGATGAGAATACACTGTACGTATTATCACGTTCTACGCAAACATTATATGTGTGCATCCGGGTAATAGTTAAAATTATTACGCAATACGAAAAAAGTCCCATTCTATGGCAAAATTATATTAGCCCATATCAACAATACTTTTCTATAAATAATTTCTTCAGGTTTAGGTGATACATACACACATTACGTCATCGGATTGGTATGCTTGGCAGATCTTTTTAATCGATGTCGGAATTGGCATCAATTATATGCATAAAGTGGTAAAGTCAAAAGTAACAATAATACCCGACTATCATTATTAAAATTTGTAATTGTTTAAAACTATAATCCGAAAGTTGTAAATAGGGGTATATACCAAATAAGTAAAATTTAGGGACAACGTGTCACTCAATTTCCATTTTTAGAGACTGACTTTGTTTCTCTTTCCACGTTTTTATTCTATAACACATATGATTGTACCAGACAAATCTTTTTCCTTTGTATGTTGTCTTTGTTTGACTTGTTAAAGGTTTTCTATTTGTCAACTTGAATTTTGATGCATGAAAAAAAAAGAGTAATTTGTGACTATGCTCGAACGGTTTGAAATATTTACACTTTGAAAATTTTAATTTCCTGAATGCTCCTTTTAAAAAATTTGCTCAACGTTAGCTTTTGCCCTTCTACGGATAATATTTTTGCTTGTCCGTTACCATTTAGTTAGTAAACTTGAAATGTGGAGATGTTATACTTTTCATACAAAACAGCACTCTACAACAAAATCATCGGTAGCTACACGTAAAAAAATAGCGTAGGTAATAACATTTCTTTGAGAAAAGTTTTCAGTCACTGAGGATGGATATACGTATTGGGGTTTTCGGCTCGAATAGTTTACATTCGTAAATCTTCATACTTATTGTATGCACGCTATCTCGTTTACCCTCTGAGAAAGCTTTTTTTTTTACAAAATTTAATATTAACATTGTTTAAATGTTGTCTAGTGGAGAAAGTTTTGATAATACAAAAAATTGTTATTGGATTGAACAGAAAAACTTACTCATGTCTCAATACTTGATTTCGTTTTTTTTTTGCCGATAGTTTATTGGTATATTAACTATTTAATAAGCATTTTATTTATACTCAAATGTGTTGATTTTTCTGGATCAATTTTAAGAAATGCCGATGCAAAACGTTTGTTAACAAGAATATAAACGATAGCTGATGTCAATGTTTTTAAAATATGAGTTGGATGAGATCGTACGGAATTTTACATAGCAGAATGTAATAATACGAACCCATATCTTTAAAAAAAAAACTTTGCTTAAAATATAGTAAGTATAAGCATATGAAACAGTTCGGATATTGCAGGTACCAAATAAAAAACGGGTGTTTTTATGCGGGCTCTGGAGATACAATCTCACAACAATCTACTTAACGAAAGAGGCGCATCTGGTAAGATATCGATGATAGAGAAGACATTAAACGCACTCAGTTCACTAGCAAAGTCCTCGGTGTTACAGACGCATCTCGCAGTATCAAATCTTGCTGAAAACGGATAACAAAACTAGGTCACTCGATGAAGAATATATTGTTACAGAAGAGTGTTGCCTAAAAATAACGTTTGAATACAAAAGACGGGTCTGTCTTGAGGGTAAAAATTTGCCTTTCCGGCCCATCTGGATAACTCTGTAATAAGGAGACTGACCAATAGAAATAGTAGGTACCTGCATATTGCACAAAGAAATTTGCTATGTAGTTTATCGCATAAACTTTATTGCCTATAAAGGATTGTAAAATACCAACATTTATCCTTTGTGCTCAATGAAGATATAAAGCATAAATTAATATTGACAAAATTAAAGTTTCAGAATAAATATCAACAAGCAATGTTGTACTAGCAATATTCGCAATATTCTCGTCCGAACATGATTGCAATGTGCGATAATAACAATTTCCGGATAAGGAGGCAGATCTGCAATATCTATTGAGCACCTGACGCTAAAATCACAATTCCATATATAGATACAGGTTGTCCTACTCATGAAAAATACTCTGATAAGCCGGTATACAAGCATATAAGTATTATATACATATTATTATTAGTTGGTTGCTAAAAATATAGTGGTGTTTACTGCTAAGAAATTCTTTTCTTTTATTGTCTTCCTTATCGAATTTAACAAGTATGTACACATCACACAACACTATACAGCTCTGCATGTTATCGCAGTTTGAAAGAAGCACAGCCACTTCCTTCTTTGAGTGTTACCTACACTGCCCAAAGACCTAATCAAAGGGAAATCAAGATATCATCAAGCAAGGAATTAGACATCGAAACCAAAATTTGAATCTTTTGGACGGCAGACGTTTCCCATAGAGTACGATGAGAATTTGGCCTCCAAAATAATTACCCAAGCTCGACGCCAAGGATATGCAAGTACATGTGGTCGTCGGAGAGTTGATAATCAAAATTTTAATCTTTATTGGTTGCTTTCAGATTATCTTTGTCTTTGATCACTGAGAACAAAAACGCAATTGACGGGCTAATTCGGTTTTAGAAAATATTTCCGGCGGGAGCGCTCATCTTTCTGAGCCTATGAATGTATGAATTAAGAGCGTTCATAATTCAATCTGTGACGATGTATCGAATCAAAACAATCTTACCATACTTTACCGATCAAATGGCACTTAGCCTTGTAATTCGCTTCAGATCAATTCCATTCCGGCAATGCACCATAGACGTATCGCATAATTAGATCGTCACTTATGATTTTCTTTCCAAAATATATGTGAAAGAGATTAAAGAGAATTAACTTAAAAAGAAAAAGACGATTTGACGTGTTAGTGTGTATTTCTAATTCACAAAAAAAAAAAAAAACAAACAAGTTTTTTCTAATAATAAAAACTCTGTTAAAATTATCATGCTGTATACTTGGTGCAGAGCGGTTGTTTTAATATACATAATTTACTATTTAATATTTTTTTTACAAGAGCGTCTTCAGCTGCTTAGCCGGAAAGATGCTGTATCATTAATCGAACGCATCGCTCGAGGGGTAATCGAATCATCGAGGATTCCAGCAGGAGAAATAATGGGATGGAATAATCACCAGGGTAAATTGAGGTATTGTTATCCGAAACCTGTGCTACTTCACCACAAGACGTATTATAACGCTCAGCACGAACAATCTGAGTTGTTACTTGCGTAATTTTTAGGTAACGAGTGTTAGTGAAAAATTCAGTACATTTAATGTTAATCATGGAAAGCGGTTATCCATAATATTCTGACCGAAAAAAAGGGATAGCCATGAGATGCCAGCATATAACAATATTTACTATTATGGTAGACTTATCCTAATAGACAGTGAGAATACCTGCTTTGATGAGATTTTGTCCATTTCATCCACGTGTTTAATTTACGCTTGGAATTTTGGATGAAAATGTCAGGGGAAGAGTGTAAGTAGACATAGATTAACACAGAAAATCAACATATAATGAGATAATAATAAAGAAAGATGGTTGTCCATATTTGCTGTGTTCTACTTCTGTATCAATATTCAAGTCACGCCTGTAGAAGTGCAACTCCTGCATTGGGGGTTCCATAATAATAAATCTTTCTCTCAAGCATCCTTGTCAGCCTATCCAGTGCTAAATGTATTACATTTTATATCTTAGTGAGTTTGGTTGCTCTCTTCTCTATCTCATTAAATCCTTGCTCCACAGTTCTCAGCAATTTTTTCCACCAATTTCTCCATCTTGTCATATTCTTCCTTTTACCTTTGCATAGTTCAGTTCTTGCGTCATATATTTGTTGTACCTCAGTTGGGAACCTGTTTGGGTTCTGGACTGAGTGACTGGGTTCTGAACTGAGACAGGTCCTGAACTCATACACAACATATTCATAGTATAAATAATAGTAATAGTAATAGAATAAATGTTTTTTGCTTCATCAATTTTAATTTTCTCCCATCATTTATCTGCACATTTGCTACTACTGCAGGGTGTCCGGATCAATGTAATGAATGATTCATAATTTGCGTATTAGTATACGTCATTCGTTTACTCTGCCTTTGATTAGCCGTTAATTTTCGACCGACAGACATTTTGGCTTTGCCATAGCGTCGTGTATTTGCTGGGTGTGGGGAGTTGAATTGGTGTCGAAAGCAACGGTTTAGTCCTTGGTTTCTCTTAGTATAATTTTCCAAGTTTTTTTAAGCAAACTTTTTTCTAAACACGTATATCGAGTTTTAAATTTTGTGATAAATTTTATCTGCGCGATGCAATGTGTCAAGTATACGATGACTAATGTTTTGCCATATACTATAATAAATTTGTTATAAGAAATTCGTGTTAAAATAACATGGAGAATATTTTATTGAACGTTGTTAGATTTAAACTTTATAAATTAATTAATACTTAATTCAATTCTTTTATCGGAAAAATTATATTGAAATTTTTCATAGAATAGAGTTGTATCATATACAATGGACACATACCACGCTACGAAAAAGAGATTATTTGTACGTTGAATTTTGTAAACCTATGGCATTACTGTATTTCCGCATATTCTAAAAGTTTTCGTTAGATAAACCGTCAATTATTACGTATCACGCAAACGCGTCTTACAAGGCAAATAGAAAACATATTTAAGTGGTTTATTACTATACGACTAAATTCGAGTACAATAAATTTGAGGTTACCACCACCATTGTAACTGTCATCATTATTCTAGGTTGATTTATACTATCAAGCGCATTTACAATATTTTGTGAACCCCCGATTCGTCTTCAGCAAAATACGAAAATACAATGACTGGTTTAGATATGCACGCCAGTAAATACTTCAAGCAAGAACACCAATTATATGTTGAATTCCGTAAAGATTAGTTTAACTGAACTTTATATCAACAACCTTCCCGTATACGAGAATCTCATTTAACATTTTTTTAGTTAATTTGCACAATACAATGAAACATGAACTACGAGGGTGTGCTGAAAAGTTTTGTCGCCGGGGTTAGATTTCAACAATCAGCTGACCTATGTAAAAATAGAGTTGATCAATCATTTCGCAACAGGAATGTATGAAAAAAAAGATCACAAACATTCATATCGTCATTCTCGAGAAACCATTTTTTGAAAAGCCTATACCAAAACGACTGGACGACATATGCCACAAATGATAACGATAATAAATTTTTGTTTCATATAGGAATCGGTCGGGAGCCAACTCAGGTTCACAGCGAGTTGGTCAATGCAGTAGGGGAACGAGCACTATCTCTTGGCGCAATTTAAAGCTGGATTCATGCATTTAAGGAATAGAGATTAGAGCGTTCTTGACAATGTTCGTTCTGGGCGCGCCTTTGCAAAGCAATGACGTCAGAAAAATATTGCCAAAGTCGACTACTTCATAAACACTGACCCTCATTTTATTACCACAGAAATGGTTAGTCAGGTGGGTACTTCCTGTGAAAGTTTTATACAATCGTATACTATCAGGAGTATTTTCGAACACTCTGGAAAAAATCTGTTCAGATGTCATGCACGCTGCGCCAAATTAATCAGCGCAATCATAACTGAATATCTTCAAAGGTAACAGGTGACACTCCTTCCTAATTTTCCATATTAATATGGGTTAGATCATTCTTCTTGTCATTTTTGCATATTCCTTCAAACTATGAAAGAACTGAAGAAAAAAAGGTTTAATAATGTTGAAAATTTGTTTAGCCAGTTGTTGACACCATCCCAAAAGCTGACTATGGGAAGTCCTTCTGAGTTGACAGTACTGTTTGAAACAATGCACAGATGTTAATGGAGACTTCTGAGAAAATCAAATCGTTTTTTGAGTAATTGTATTTAAATTTATCAAAATAAATGAATCGGCGACAAAACTTTTCAGCCCCTCACGTATTATGCACTATTCTTTTATCAAGTTAAGTAATGAATTATATCGAATGCTTCCAATGTGTGAATGGAATAGAAAGTGGGTAATGTTTGGTAGAGAATGCAATGATTGCTTTTTCATTCACTCTTTCAGAATTTCTTTCTATTTTTCATTTCCTATCAGTAGTGGAATAGTTATTGTCATTCGAACATTTTATAGAGAATGAATAATTGGCTTTGAGAATAATAAAGGAATAAAACAAATACAATTCTGGTGCAAGTTAAAGTGTGGCAGGTTTTTCAAACTCTTTTTCAAATTCGCTTGCTTCGGCTTTTTGTGCTGAGCATGTCAGCGTGAAGGTTTATGTCGTACTCCAATTTTTTATTTCGTAATCAATTCATGTTGAGACTGTTTTGACTCACTAAATTGTAAGACAACAGAAGAAGTGAGAGGTTAATACCGTAGATTGACATCCGTAACACATACCTGCAGTTAAATATATCATAACTATTTTTTGGTTTAGGTAATTCTCCTGTAAGTAAGAAATATTATTTACTTCTACGATTGCGAATAACAACAACGCGTGCGTATTAACCGGACAGAATTAAATTGTAAGGCAGTTCCATGTAATTTTTACTATGTTAGCGGCAGGCTATCTATTCCTTAACTGTAACCATTTGCTGTCAATGTTTCTGAAATTGACTTTTCTTTCTTGTGATGGGAATTATTTTGTCGACGAAATCAACTGCCAAAAACAAGATAAGTGAAAAAACGGCAAAAAGTTTTGTTGTGATAATGTTACTATTGTATCATGCTCACTGGATATTTTTGCTCTGCCGTTGATACGCATTTTTTATTATTAAATAAAATTTATTTATCAACTTGTTTGAATCTATAAAATATAGCGAACAGACGATGTATCTCAAAGAGTTTGTTATTCAGAAGAGCCTATGCTTGTCAGAGAAGGGATACGCAATAGTCATCACATAAATTGTGATTCAATTTCTGAAAACAAAGGCTGTGAATCCAATAAATCAACATGCCCGTTCGCTGGAAAATTGTAGGAATTGATTTACGAATAAGAGACGCGCGTAGACTATTTTTTATTTGTCTCGCATCAGTGTCACGTGGACAGGGTGTGAATCCGAATCTCAAGAAAAAGTCAATTTGGCTGTAAAAGGTGCAAAACTCTGTTTTTGCAACGCTAACCAATATTTCTGTACACCCGATGCGGACGTGCAAAAAGTTGGAGAAAAGATTACATAACGCAGCTGCCCTGTTCTGCGTGCGCAACTAACATTGAGAGAAATGTGCGACGCGGTCGGCGTTATCAATGTACGCCGTAGAAAGAAATTATGGTTTAGCGTACTGTAAAAAAAAAACTTGGTCTTAACCCCTCAGAAATGTATGTTTTGGGTTACAATAGCAAAAACCAGATTAGTTAGAACGATGAGTATTGTGTCTTGTTTGAACTGATACTTAAAAGGATATCGATACGTCATTGAGCGTTTGTTGCGATTACAATGATCTGGGCGTGTATGTATTGACGCGAATAGTCGTTACTTAAAAGGATATCGCTACGTCATTAAGCGTTTGTTGCAATTACAATGGTTGATAGATGGGTTCACAATGAAATCATGGATCTAGAAGATCTTGTTGATAGATTGCAATCGATACTTTATACAAGTTTATTACAAAAAACCCCTTGAAAAAAAAATATTCCAAAATATACAATAAAATACATTGGCGAGGAAATGTAGTCTACACGTAGACCGAGTGCTCCGAACATTTCAACTACTTCTCAACAATTTGAGATTTTTCGTTTGGGATTAGAATAATAATATTAATATTACAATAAACTCCCAAAGTTAAAATTTTGAAATTAGGGGTTTGATTTTGATTTTGACGTAAGGAGATACCTAAAAAGAATGCTTAAAGTTTTCATCAAATTAAAAGATAGTTGTTGGGGAGATAATACTTAACATAATGAGGTATCTGCGAACATATACACGTTAAAGGAAAAGAGAAAATAAAAGAGAGGAAAAAATCTAAAAATATTGAAAATTACTTTCAAGTCGATTGTTAAACTTTTTCCTTCAAAACTTAATCCTACATATATCGATAAATTGAAAAAGCAAAAGGGAAAAAAAAAATAAATGGACAGAGAAAGAGAAAGAGAAAGAGAGTTTGGAGGGGAGGGGGGGCAATTCAGCAGGTATAAAGAAAATTCATATAATGAGAGAAAAAATATTAACAAAATAATTAATTAATTTACAGAAAAGACAATATTTATAATATAAGCAATTGTTCTTTTATATACCCTTGTGTACCCCCCCACCTTCTTTCATTAGTATTATTATTATTAAAAGGAATGTCCTTCATTTTGTGTATTGTCCATATATCTAAAATCTCCAAAGAGAAATTTTCAGAGTAAAAAAAAAAAAAAAAAAAGAGAAAAAGAGAAGGAAAAAAAAAAGGCTCAGACATTTAGAATATCATTTTTGTTTTCATTCAACTGGCAATCAAATTCCCGTCATCAGTTCTAATGCATTCAACTCCACAACCCTCTGCCTGAGCAAGCACGGTTAATTCTTTGATATTCTCTGAAAGGATTTCCCGCAGCTTTTTCAAACGACCAATAAGACACGGCACCATATCCACCGATATTCTCAATCGTTCCCTCCGCCTTTTCTTTTCGTCAACCTTCTCCTCATCAAACGATTTATTCTCCTTGTCGGAATCATCGTCGTTGATTATTATATCTTCCATCATATCGTCATCTGTTTCTTTCGATTGATGGATAACCTTTGACGCGTCATCTCCCAGTTCAGATTTGATGATATTTTTCAATACGTGAAAATGTCGCTCTGACGGCGTGCGTTCGATGACGTGAGTGCTACGGTTTCCGCCAAATATGTGAGTCTGGTCTTCCGCAACATCGCTGAGATCGAGTATAACATCGGCTTCTTCCCAGTAACTCTGATATTTGGCTTCAAGTGTATCGTAGCATAGCTCGGTGTTGTTAAGTGAGCGCAGAGTGTTGCCGAGGCATCTGGAGGCTGGCTGGATGGATTCGGTCAGGGTACGCTTTTGTTGACGAAGAGTTTCGAGTGCTAATGATGGATCGGGTGAGAATCGGATAAAGTCGAGTTAGTACATGTGAACGCTATATATACAGCACGTCTATCGTTCAATGGATAACATCATTACCTTTTATCTGAGAATTAAAGTCGAGTATGTTGAACATGTCCATACGAATAAAGATTTGAGATTCTTCGACAACCTCTGGAACGGGGATCTCTGGTGTTTCTATGACGTAAAAAGCATCCCAACTCTCGCGCTGTTTTGCTATTAGATAAAGATAATTTTCGAGTATATACGTTAGTTTTCGTACTGCATAGCCTTTCATGGATTAAATAAACCATTTTTTTACTTACGCTTCCGATACAAACTATCGGGTAAATCCTGCATAGGTATCTGCGGTAAAGACTTGCATCTATTATGTCTCCTTTTCTCCGCCTTTCCCCTGGTGAGCGGAAACGAGAAGGGTATAGGAGGCAAAGAAGGTCTTCTGCTGAACAGATTTGACGACTTTTGCTCCTCGGCAGCGATCATTGAATCCCAATCCTCAATTTCTTCGTCTTCTTCCTGCAAGGTTTCGTCCAGACTGGTGTGAACAAATGTAGATTGTGACGCCGACATTGGCGAATACTTCCAATTAGGCAGGTCGGGGACTGATAATGTCCTTCGTTTTCCCAAATACATATCAGGTTCGGAGCATATTGATGACATATCGTCGTCGTGAGGATGGACCGCGGTTGGCGGAGGAGTATATTTTCTCTTTGCTTTAAACCATCTAAAGCGACCGCGAGAAGATTTTTGTGGAGAGATTACCGGAGAGGGCGGAGCGGAACCCACTGACAAAGCGCGAGGTTTGTTGGAACGAGTAAAAACCTGGTGAAAGGTTGAAGCGGTACTCAGGGCGCTAGTGAAGAAGACCAGCTATAGTTTTGGGGGGAGGAATGGTGGAATGATACGCGAATAAGAAATCACGTAATTGATGTAAATTCAAAATGTACAATCGCAGCTTACCGAGCCCACTGCACTTTGTGGAGACATGTTTACACCGAAAAGACGAGTTGAATTCTAATCACACAGTTCAATAGGATAGTATTCCCGAGACACAGAATATCCAAAGAGTTGGATGATAATAATTTCCAATGACGATGAAGTGGGGGAAAACGGGGGGGAGGAGGGGTGAGTGAGAGGGGAGAGAGAGTCTCACTGCGGGGGGATTGCAAGTTACAGAGGTTAGAATTAGGAGACTAGGAAATATCAGACCACCTTCTCCTAGAATAATCGAACACATCCATGGGATGCAGTATTTAACAGATACGACGATTGTATGCAAGGTAATGTCATACCAAATATCATTCGCGAAGAAATGAATTTGGGAAACAAATATTACGCCGTACTTCGTATGTCATGTAGCAAAAAGCAAGAGAAATTCAAAACATACCAAGAACTCTTTCACGGACAAGAGAGAGGGGTTTACCGGAAACAACAAGCGACGGTGAGAGGGGAGAATTCAGGATAGGAAGGGAAGATGAGGATGGTAAGGGAATTGCTAGGGTATTGCTAGGGTATTGCGCTTCTTCTTTCTTTTTTTTTTTTTTCCCTTTGGCAATACCTTAGTTTTTTTTTCTTGATTCCGAGTGAGGGGGAAAAGGTATAAATAAATAGGTGAAGAGAGATCGCTGGTGGGAATATGTAATTGTGTAACAGTGTATAAATAAATATATAATAAAATGAAGTAAATAAACAATTAACGGGATATGGTATGGTACTTATTTATATTGTACATTGTATAATTTCTATACCTTAACTTATTAATATAATAATATAATCGTGGGTATATTCTATTTTTATTAAGATTCATCCGTACATTAGTTGATTATTAATTAATATAGTATAAAATATCACTGTACACAAAACCCGAATTGAGCATACAGCAGTATCCCCCGCTTGTACAGCTTGTTGCATTAACAATATGCTCCACAATAACCGATTACGCTTTACATTCACAAGACTATATTAGTGTCGTCGCATCTGATACACTAAAACGCAAGATGGATCTTATGAGCAAGAACAGATTGGATGGTTGGTGGTCTAATCGGTAGCACAGATTGTACAAGTTGGACAAGGCTGACATTCCTATGAAGCGATTACAGCAAGAAAGGGGAAAAAAGGAAGGGAAGGGGGATGGGGGAAAAAGAGAGACAAAAAAAGTGTAAACGCTTTTCTGGTTAAAAACATGAGATTGTTTGGATATTATATCGAGTATTGGGTAATTCCTCGGGAATGCATCATTGTTTCGAATATAGTTTGAGTTTGGATTTTAACATTTATTGCAAAAAAAAACATTACAGACACATGTCTTGAAAACTTTTAAGGACAATTGCACAAGAAATACCATTTTCTTGAACCTTTTAATATATAGTACCTCTGTATGTATGTATGTCCGATGTATGCGTATTTGGCTGTATGTCTGTGTGTGTCTGTGTGTCTGTGTGTCTGTGTGTGAGTATGTGTAGTGTGTAGTGTGTGTGTGTGGAGTGTATGTGTATGTGAGTGTTGTGTGAGTGTGTGTGTGCTCGTTGATTGGAATATTTGTAAGCAATAAGGTTTATCGCCTCTCGAAACACATTTTTGTGCTATGATTGTAATTAATCTCTACGATAAAACAAGCCCAGTATATTTAATTTTGCGGAGTTTTTCGGAGAATGTTTCAATTATATTGGTCAATTGTTGTAATAATGCTTTCTATTTAAGTCTTTATTCAACCCGTTGCGCTAACAGATAATATATGTAATAGTCTATTCTCATTCTAACAATGCTCGTTTGTCATTTCGGATGCGAAATTTCAAGAGTCTGGGGCCATAATGATAATAAAGAAAAGGTAAATTTTGTGTGAGACTGGAATGTTACCTAAACGACTATTACCCCATGCCAATATTTCTTAATATGATTAAAACGTGAGTGCAACGATAACAAAAAATGCCTTTGCACATAAAAAATTTTCACTCTGCCTCGTCAATCTTTAACACGCAAACAGAAAGTTACGTTATCATTACACCGTTCTACACCAGACGAGAATTTTCGTTAATTTGTAGCCAATTCCCTTTGTCTGGTTTCTCGAAACTTTCGACACTGTCATTTGTTATCTGTCGGTCATGGTCTGTGGACAGTGAAAAAGACTGTAGTACAATTCCTTATAGTAATATTAATTATTTTTTAGTTGCTTTTCGAACAATTAATATATTGATGCAAGTCGTGCCTTCTACGTCTTTCGAATTACTACCTCGGTTAGATTTGAAGTGTGGATGATCACAGCGATAAGAAATTACCGAGATGAACATTTTGCGTCGATAATTGTGTTTCTGTCATTTACTTTGTGAGATTGACATTGCGCATATTAATTTAGAGGATCATCCCGATTGGACATTATCGAAATAGTCCTCATATGAAATATACATCATTCTTATCTCATCTGTTATGACCTGTGATTCGCCATAATCACGCGCAATGTAAAAAGGATGGCTTTTTACAATGGGTGATATACATATTATACATGCAATTCAGGACATACATATGCTTATCGTGTAAAACCACTGATTCGAACTTTTTAATATTTAGTGTTACTTCTTCTCATTATATCATTATTATTATTATAACAACTGTAGCAACGTCAGCAGACTTATGGACAGCGGGTGACATGACAGAATATATATATCAATAGCATATAAGTATTATATCATCAATATATACTCATTAATCGGACTAATTCTGTTAATCATACATGTACTTTTATTCTCAATCCCTTTTTTGTCAGAACATTCTCCTCCATTTAAAAAATTATATATAGTTTTTACTTGCCAATACTATTATAATTAGACTTACTTTATATGTAAAGAAACAATCGAACTTTACTTATTACACATACGGGATGATAAGTATTATTATATCAAAGCACCAAGATTACACAGCATCAAGTTTACGCAATGTATTACGTATTACAAGTATTGGTATTACTATACCAGACATTTATAGTAAAACTCTTATCAAGTCAAGCAAATCACTCGATTATAAATGTCCTTTTTTTTTACCATCCCATCAATATTTCTTTACTTTTACGTTTGTAGAGACCCTCCCCTTCAAAAAAAAGGGGGGGTGGTTATCTTAATTTGATGACAGACAGTAGTAGTAGGGATACACAATATCATGCGTTCATGTCGATACGCTATTGGTCGAGACAACGTCAATTTCAATTCAATCATACGAAAGACATGATCACGCTGTGAATCGTAATGGTAGATTGGCAGACAAAAAGGAAAGAAAGGCGTTTTTCTTTGTTATTCGAAAACCTGTCCTGTCAGTCCGATCACGTCAAGTTTCCCCCGATATACGAAATACCTAACTACCGTTTTGGAACATTTTCAATGCTCGGTTCGAATATAGATGTAATAAACTCGCAGTAGTTGTGGGGTAATGGAAAATAGACGAACCGATGGAAATTAATTGACGATCAAGGCGTGGGATTGGAAAATAGACTATGGAAGAAAAGAAAGTAAATAGAACTTGTATTTGATAAATTTGAGTTTGATGTATATATTATTAATTGTTGTCGAGCCACTGTCTAATTGACAATATAAAGTAAAAGTACTTGTAATAACTTTTAACCCTAATATTACAACAGTGTATAATTAAATAGTAGATCGTAAAGTAACATCACATATGTTCTTATTTATTGACAAATCCAAACAGGGAAAATACTTCGCTCTATAGTGAACCCTGTGGATCCCCCTCTCAGACGCGTATCTTCCTGAGTACACTTTCTGTACCCGACCCCTTATGTATGACATCCCTAAGATGGTCTGTAAAGATCCTAATAAAGAACGATATCAATCGTAGGATAAAGTACGACACAATGAATGTAACAGTATCACTATAAATATCTGGAATAAAACGACATGCATTGCGTTATTCACTGTAATGCGTTCATAATCTAATAATATGTCATTGCTCTGCACTGGCAGCGGCAGTCGCACGGCAGCACTAGTCGGTTTGCATACAAAGACACCCAAATTTAACTTAGGGATTCATATCGTGATACCTGTTCTTTGTGTGCACAACTCTATTTCTTTTGCATCAAACCTTGCCGTCAATCATTATAATAGCATTCTAAATTTAGAAGGCAAGATTTTCGAAGCTATTTGAGAATTTCTTGGATAGTCTAACCATTGTTGGATAAGAGTAACATTCGACTATAAAGAAGGAAAAAGAAAAGGGAAAAAAAAATTCTTCTGAAATACCGAATAATTAGAGTGATGGGAAGAAAGTGAGAGAGAGAGACAAAGAAAAAGTGAGTTGGAAAAGCATGGATTTCAGTGACAAGATGTATTTTTAATTGCCAAAATGTGTTATCGAAAATCATTCATCTTGCAATTGCAATGGATATTTATAATTACCTGCAGTAAGAATAAACGCTTACGGATAAAATATAATTCTATAAATGTATAACGTTATGGTTATCGTTGTTTATGTCCGCACCGAACATACATTCTTCTAAACGTTCTCTTGCATCCAAACTATACCAATACGAGAATGACAGCAGCTATCCCTTTTTTTTTTTTAATAAACATACATAAGCTAATATATACATATTAATACCTATGCACTATCGAGTCTATTAAGTATAAAGGTTTTATCCGTTTATCCGTCGATCCATCTATTATCCCTCATTTAACGTTCTTCCAAGTTACAAGTCAAAACACAAGTACAATAAATACTCAATAAACCATCAGTTGAACACGGGGAAAATAGACTATTTTATGGTTAGTATCGGGATTCTTTATATGCCAACCGATGCTCGCGTATGCATTTAATAATGTATCACGAAATCATATACAAATGGGGGAAGTGATAGATGGGATGTGCATGCTTAAAGGTTAATGCCGTCATATTCTCATAATTGTTATCAGGTCGAAAAAAGCCAAGAACCAATTCGATTGAACGATAAGAGAGGGAAACTAAGCAGACGAGTAAGTTTGATGCTTCGATGAGACTCTAGATCCCCAGCATCGCAAACATTTCATTTGTGTACGGTTATGTATGTAGATCCAAATAACAATGCAAGCAAATGAACTAATACCGTTCAATTTGAATGTGCATTGCAGATACAATGTGTAATGGAACAATAGAACAAGTTCTAACTGGTGAGAGAAACAAACGCATGTACGATGGTTGTAACGTAACGAATCTTGTAAAACTGTTCAGCAAGAAATTTGATATATATAAAACTAACTTGTCAAAAATTATATCATACAAATCTCGGGTTTTTTTGCATGTGCTGGCAATCCAACTATTTTCTCACATGTCAATAACATTAGGTAGACATTGTCATATAGGGGAGAGCGAAAGCACGAAAGCACGAAAGAACAATATGATATCACATGATCCACTCGGGACAGGTCAGTAGTACCATTCGATTAATTCGATTAGCACACAAATCGTTTCATTTTTGGATACACGGTAAAACAAAATACCACTACGTAATGTTTATCTTCATCCCCACAAAGTCGACGTGGCACAATAATCGTGATATACAAATAACAAGTGGCAGTGCAAGATAAATTCCAAGTTTAGGCTTTGGATACCGAAACGATATTTCTATAAAGGTAATTTCATTAATGTCAATGAAGTTGCGCCCCAAGAAAAACAAAGCTTGTGTACTTTGAGTACTTTATTATTATTATTATTATTATATCACACACACATTCCATCTAGTAACGATTTTTCCTCCCTCCCTCCCATCTTTGGTTTGTTCGTTATTACCACCACACAGATAATCATCCCACCGTTTTACCGTCAAATAATCAAAGCCTGCATGCAAGTTATTTTTATCTCTCGCACGTACCATCATGACTAAGCACAATTGACCGCAACTTATCTGAGAGCAAACCAGTTTTTATTCAGGAAACCATTCTCATTTGTTCAATGGTAAATTTTTGAAAGACTTAAAAATAAAGCATTAAAATAATCAAGTGACCAATGTGGGAAAATGTTCTGCTGCGTCTGTTTAAGGGGGGGGTTGGCGGAAGAGGAAGGAGGGGCAGCGGCGACAGTGGGCGACGTATCAGACTCACATGATAACACGCACGCGAGCTACGTGTCATCCACAAAGATCTAGACATGGAAAGAGCTATTTGTCAATGGGTTAGTAATCAATAAAAACATCCAAATAATCGAGCTACTTGTTCCAAGGAAAAATCCCATACCCCGCAACAGGTTTTATATCTTACTACAGGCATTTTCAAAGTTTTTATCCATTGAGGGTTGAGTGAGGATAAATGATTTTACCAATAGTAAATTTTCCTTCGGCCGAGAGTTTCTACTTATTGTACAAACGCACAGTTTGACCGGCTATCGGGAACAGCATTGAGAAGAGAAAAGCTTTTGCTTATTAAAACGGTCAATCGGGTCAGAAACATATTGTAGTTGATGAGTAATGGTTGTAAGCCCTACGAGAATAGCGTCATCGGCTTCTGCTATTAATCATTGCGCTATTTTTACAATAGAACCTAGAACCTACCACATTCTCCGGATCGGGTTTACTCCGCGAACGATTGCTTCTGTGGATATACTATTAAACGTACTATATTATTTCTTTTAGCATACTTTCTGGTTCGCTCCTCGGCTCCTGATATCGCTCTCGGCATTACCATTTTCATAATTATTATGCGAAGGCATTACTGATTATCTTACCCATTTTGTTAATAGTTCCGTCTTTGCAGATGCATAGCCAAATCTCCCCCTCCAATGAATATCCTGCGTAAGATTTTATGGTTGATCGCCCATTAATACTGAAAAAACTTTCCCCAATTCATCAACGCATTTAATAGAGTCTATACCTTATATGCATTTATGACGTAATCTCGGGTAAGTTGTAGATTCGATTTAAACTGTAATTAATATTAAGAGCATTGTCTGGCAAGAATGTAAGATTACATCACTTTAAAGTGAAGGCAGTAACCATTATTGTTATCTATTGGTTTTTTCTTGTACAAAACACAGCGGTCATGCTTATCGGTGAAATACAACGCAAGAAAAAAGAAAACGGAAAAAGCCTCAAAACGTTACTGATTTTTCTCAGAGCTTGGTCGATTTGATGGCAGTTTTTGCTATGCCTTGATTTCTTCAACAGCACACACAACTTGAGCTTTTATGATTACCACAAGTATTGCGAGAACAAGGTCGCTGATAAGAATAACTTTACCGAGGCAGGTGGCAATTTTGTGTACAGTAAGTAACAATCCATTATGACAGGAATTGTTATTGTTCGTCAAATCCTGACGATCTCCGAATGGATCATCACTTGTGAAAAAATAGGCTAATTGATGATATGCTAAACTTTTTTCCTGTGTACTAACTATTACACACAATATGGCGTTGCCGCTTACTCGTAAGTAAAGAGCGCACCAACGCACCGCCAACATATCTCATGCAAAGTCAACAATGCGGGTGGTTCCCCGACTTATACATTAGATGAACGAACGACATTGATGTCAGTTGAACCAATTGAGAACAGCTCAAAAGGTCGTCCGAGACTTTATGTAAGAAAAACTTCCACGGTAAAGATTCGATTTACGGTGCAATTCTGTTGTTTCTCTTTTCTGACAATGTTTTCACATTCCGAACCTGGTTCTATACCTGAGACGATATGGATCTATTAACTTGAAATTGCAAAATTACTACCTTGATTTCAGTCCGACGCTTAATCTATTACTAAAAGAGCATGCAAATAGGAATTTATAAGAGGGGCAAAAAAATCAGAATTCATCGCAAACTAAAAAAAAAATAAAGCTTAAAGTTTCACAATTAAATGTTATGGAACAAATAATTGTTTGCATATGGCTAATAAACAGCGCGAAATTACAACAATAATTATATATCAAAAAAGTTACATATTTACCTACTGATACCAAAGTAAGACTGTTGGCTGTATCTTCAGTAAAATGAAATGAGTTCCATGAACTTGTGTTCTCACACATATTAATATTACACGTAATATAATATTATAATACCACATCTTCAAAAGCGTTGATATTCTACTCATATGATTATAAAATTTGCAGTAATATCTTCACCATCTTTGGAGATGGCCATGAACAAAGGTATAAATAACATTAATTTTATAAACTAGCAATGCCAGTTGTATAGGTACCACAGATTTTATTGCAGACGTTGATAAAAAAATTACTGAATGAGCCCACAAAGCTAGTTTAATAAAACAAATAATAGGCTTGCCCTTTAAAACACGGGATAAAATAGTAAAAATAATAAATAAATTATTTACTGCAAGCAAATTAGCCAACAAACTCTGGAGGTAGTCTTAAAAAACGTCTCAAAAATTGTTAATTGAAAGCAAAGAAAACTTAGTAAATTGATTTGAGAATGGAAAAGTAAACTAATACTAATGTTACTTTATTATTAACATTGGTGATGCTTTTCTAAGATAATACTAGTGGGCATAATAACTATATAGAAAATTTAATTTTCAAATATTTGTAAGCGTAAGCTTGTATTAAATATAATATCATAAAGCTATCTAATTTAAATACAGCTGTTTGAGTGACTGGTGTTGCTAAGACCCAAACCTTCCTCAGAATCGAAGAAAAAGGTTAATTGTTATATATTATAGCTGCCAACATGTTTTGTTATCAAGCTATCCTATGCTAATCTATTAGAAATAAAATTTTCGTATGTTTATTATTACACTTACTCATTACAAGATAAATTAAATACAACGTTAAGTAATTGTTTAACCGTTTACATTTCTTTGATAAATTCAAAAAAACTTTCTAATTTCAGCAAATTAAATTCAATAAAAGCACCATTACAACCAGTTGGGCCAACACAGATGATTATACACCATAGCCACTAAATATCATATTAATATGCAACGTATGACAATGTTGTATGTTAATTTGGAATTCTGTTCAAGATCCCATGAGCATACACACTGTTACTGTGACCATTTGTGATTGAAGTCTGTGTGTATTAACTGCAGGAGGTCACACTGCATTAATGTTGTCTTGCCACACCCGGGACTAGTTGTGACTGTAGGGTACTAATAAAGTCACTTTGAAACCTTGGATGTATTTGTCTGTACCTCATCAATGGAGATATTCTATTCATGTGCAAATCAGACCATAATGATATGCTTCTTTTCTATGCATTGTTTGATTGTTTTCAACTCCTCATTATCATGGCGAGCTGTGAATGTAAATTTCCCGGCTTTCTATATAGGTGATATGACAACATGAATATTGACATATTTTCATCAGGCAAGATGTCTTTTCACAAAAAAAAAAGTATTATGAGTAAGAAAACTGTACATACAAGATTTTGAAGGGGTGTACTTTCGCAGTAACTGTTGTGATGACACTGACTTGGGGGCTTGAATATTGCAAGCGCCTCAAGTACGTCACTTTTGAACACAAGACGTGGTTTTTTGGAAACATGTTCTGTTTACAAACATATATAATAATAAGTAAAGTATCGCAGAACAGCAAACTTTATGAAGAGTAGTTCGATGCCACCCAACGTATTAAGAAAACATATTAATGTACACACTATTTTATGCCCCAAACACCTGAATTACAAAGTCTTTACCTCGTCTCAACTCTTCCCAACAGAATATTTTTTTTTCCCATCAAGGTAGGAATACAATGACAGGAAAGTAGCCGCTCGCCCTGGGTTATCAACCGGAAGAGCTTCAACGTGGTCTATATCTTTCTCCGTTTTCCTAATTTTTCTTACACAGTTTTGAGTTGCTCGTTCGTTTGTATTGGGAAGATACTAAAGAGTAACAGTCCTTATGGTACAACTTGTAAACGGCCGATTTCGCTGTCTACCACGGAATTATTTGATTGGTCAAAAATTCCACCCCGAATATTTTGGATCGG